ATACTATTCAATTCTCGACGATGAATTGATTTGATAGCTCAGATATTGTTATTCATGATATTGATCCGATTCAATATCATCAAGGTGTAATTCATCCCATTGAATTTACAGGCGAAAGATTTATCATCTCTATGGGATTAAATCCCGAGTTATTGCCAAATAAAAAAAAACAATGAGATTATGGAAGTAAATATTCTCGCATTTATTGCTACTGCACTCTTCATTCTAGTTCCTACTGCTTTTTTACTTATAATATACGTAAAAACAGTCAGTCAAAGTGATTAATTTGAATCAAACTTGACTTCTTTTCTTAGTCAATGATTGAAGAAATAGAAGAAATCAAAAGGATTTTCATCTCACGTCTTAAATGAAATGAGCGGACTCGAATTAGCGGTATAGTATTCTATGAGATCCGATAGTATGGTAGAAAGATTCATATATTTCTTTCTACCATACTAGCTATTATTCTTATTGTAATTTTATTATTCTTATTGTAATTTATTGTAATGTAACAAGTTGTACTGTATAAAAATATATATAATATAGGCTTAATATAGATTAATCTACAATATGTATCTTTTTGATATATGTATTGATATATGTAATGTACATAGCATCCCAATTCGATTTCTTTGCTTCATCTATTTAATTTGTCTTGATTCCAATCAATCTAAAACAATCGAAAGGCAATTCTTAATAGTACGCTTCGAATTCCCAGATTTCTAATTATTTTCAATACGAATCCCTGTATCCATCGAAAGAATCAAATCCATGGGCGAAGGGAGTACGGCATACAGTATATTAATAAATGAAAATCGATTAATTTTCTTTTAGCATTCCGAAGAAGTAATTGATTGAGCAGTTAACAGATGATCCAAGAAGTTCTCTGGAAATTTCTTCAGATTTCAAAAAGGAATAATAAAACCCACCATTTTATTTAAACTCTTGAACCATGAAATGAGTCAATAAAGCCTAAGTATAGCATAAATAAGATTTCTAAACTAAAAAAACAAGTGGTAAAGTAAGTGCGCAATATGTGACTTGCCAAGGGAAGATCTTATTATGCGTAGTCTCTCCTTGGACAACCACTATGTATATGTTGTTTCCCATAGAAGGTACGTATCCACTTAATATAATAACAGAACGTTATTCTCTTATCTTAATAAAAAGGGAAAGAAAAACAAATAAAAATCAAATAAAAAGGAAAAAGGCTTTGCAAAACGATCTATAAAACAATCGATACAGTTTGATTCCTCGCCTCAATTAGTAGTACCTCTAGAGTCCACTTCTTCCCCATACTACGAGTGAAAGAGAAAATGTAAAGACTACCATTAAAGCAGCCCAAGCAAGACTTACTATATCCATGTAAATTATGTCCCCTATCTCTATGAAGGAATTATTCCATTATTGTTCACTAATATAATAATAGTGGAATCACTGGCGTAGAGTCAAAAAGGGATTCGGACCCAACACCATTGATCAAAGGCTCTAATAAATCTGCTTATAACAAATTCTTCAAATTCTTATAGGATATTATTTTTCTAGTAGAATCGGAAAACGTTAAGCACAAGCAAAATACGCAGTGACTCATTTAGAAGTATCAGGGAAATCTTCCTAAGATGTAGGAATAATAAGACCTATTCTATCTTTTCTTGTCTTTATCTTTCGAAAAGGTATAAAAATATGAAAAATAGAATGTCAAGATAGATCGTTATCTATCCCATACTTTTATTTCCCATTTGATCTAATTCTTACTGTCTAAGGATTGTCTCTGTGAAACAATCGGAGGACCACCTATTCCATTCTTGACTAGGGTTTATTGAAAAGAAAGAATTTATTTTTTCATTTCAATTTTAGAAAGCCAATTTTCCATCGAATTGTTATTGGATACCGAGGACTTAGAGACTCTCCTGAGTCTGTATAGAAAGTATCTTCAGCCCTTTCCACAACCACTAATTCGATTTTCCGTCGGGCTATCCAATCTAATTCAGGACCCGGTAATTAAACACTACATTAGTAGTGGAAGGGAATCAATAAATCTTTATATGAGAGACCTTCCACCACTATAATCTGTCCTTGAATCCTAGAGGCAAGGATTTAGAGCACTTTAGCTTTCGAGAGTCAAACTTCCAGATGTTTAGAACCAAGCAAGCAAGTCTCAAGAGTCCTTTTACTTTGTTTGCTTCTGCTGGGGAAAAATTCAGCGAGTTATATTAGCAAAACGAAATAAGAGATTTCGAGTTTTTTCTTGATCAGGCGACACCCGGATTTGAACTGGGGAAAAAGGATTTGCAGTCCCCCGCCTTACCGCTCGGCCATGCCGCCAAAATGTATGATCTCCTACAAAATAGATGAAAAAAAAAGTCTCCCTTTGTTTGCGTCGGGTGGGGAATTCCTAAACTTCTTTTTTTATTGGACTTGCATCTTGAATCCCGTTTTCTTAAATTTAACCCTTGCCCGAAAAGAAAAAAATCCTTCGTTTTTTGGATTGGATCCATCCCTTCGGTTGTATGTATAGTATCTCAAAACCTAAATATTTACAAATTTTCCCTCTCTTTTTTATATTGATATTGAAAAATTGAAAAACCAAATGTGGTTTTTCAGTCACAAAAGCCAAAATTTAGGACAAATTGGAACCATTAACTATTAAATGTGACTGTAAATTCATGAACGATTCTTGGATTTGAATCCAAAATTGTCTTTTCTTAATCCTAATGATATAAGACAATCCAAATTGATATATAACTAATCAGTATTGATTCTTTTCCATAAAAAAAATCCTTCCCAATTTCTATTATAACATCAAATAGAAGTATATGTAAACCCCAGAACATAAATTGTTATACAAATATTTAATTGGATATCCTATCTATATATGATGCCTATAGAGAATTATCAGTGAATTGTAGTGCTTCAATATTTCATTCAATAGATGGAATAGAAAATGGAAATTTTGATATAGCATAGCACGCGCTGTCCCGAATAGAACTTCAAGAAAGGAGGAAACAGCTATCTACACATGGTTAATAAATACAAACTTTATTACTCTATTACGCCCTTCGATCGTATTCTACTAAAAAAAGGTAAAAGTATCTCTCTTTTATGCGAATCATTTGTTGAACAATAGAATCCATGAAAAAGTTAAGTGCTCAAAAAAGATCAACTCTATATTTTTGATGATTATAATGTCTTTATATCATCGAACAGATTAAATACCGAATCCATTTATTTTTCTGGTACCCAATCGGATTAGAATATGTAATATCATAATAATGGTAGAAATGGAATCACTTTTTTTTTGATATTCTATCCAAAACTCCATAAGTCTAAGTGACATTTATTAATTCCTTTCGATTTTGTATCTGTTACAAATTCCAATTTGAATATAAAATTGTCTTTATTCCTCCGTTCATATGCATTTCATACATTCCATATATGGGGTGGATCAAATTTCATGTGATTCAGTAAACAAAATAGAAATTCCATCATTGCTAAATCAATCCATATGATTTGATGAAGAATGGGTCAATAATGGAATTTTTTCGAGAAAAGGGAAATTCAAAATGCTCGGGGATGGAAATGAGGGAATGTCTACAGTACCTGGTTTTAATCAGATACAATTTGAAGGATTTTGTAGATTCATTGATCAGGGCTTAACAGAAGAACTTTATAAGTTTCCAAAAATTGAAGATACAGATCAAGAAATTGAATTTCAATTATTTGTGGAAACATATCAATTGGTAGAACCTTTGATAAAAGAAAGAGATGCTGTATATGAATC